TCCACACTTAGATGTACTAGAATCTTCTCCACACTTAGATGTACTGGAATCTTTTCCACACTTTGTTGTACTAGAATCTTCTCCACACTTAGATGTACTAGAATCTTCTCCACACTTAGATGTACTAGGAATCACCCTGTCTGGATGTCTGGATGTCGTCCGCAGTAACTATACCCCGGTAACAAAGTTAGGGGGTTATACTGGAATCACCCTGTCTGGATGTTTGTCTGTCGTTCGCAGTAACTTGTCAGGAAAACTCCTCCTTAACTAACAGGTGGATTTCGTAGAAACTTTGCATGAATGATTGGTATCTTATGTAATTGTGCACCGGCATTTTAATTTGGGATTTTGACCCATTTTGGTGGAGTTATGCCCCTTTGTGCAACATACTTGTTGAAACTTCACTTGAATGATGGGTTTATTATGTACCCAGTAGTTGTGCACTGGCATTTTAATTTTAGATTTAAACACTTTTTAAGGGAGTTCGGTCCATTATGCAAAATAGCTTTTCCTGAAACCCCAGGTCAAAGTAACTAAATGATATAAACTACCAGCATTCGCGGGGGTATTAGTTATCCTCTGGAGGACAGTTCTAGTTACCCCCCTGGGGGTATTAGTTATCCTCCGTATGACAGTTCTAGTTACCCCTGGGGGTATTAGTTATCCTCCGTATGACAGGTCTAGTTACCCCTGGGGGTATTAGTTATCCTCCGTATGACAGGTCTAGTTACCCCTGGGGGTATTAGTTATCCTCCGTATGACAGTTCTAGTTACCCCTGGGGGTATTAGTTATCCTCCGTATGACAGTTCTAGTTACCCCTGGGGGTATTAGTTATCCTCCGTATGACAGGTCTAGTTACCCCTGGGGGTATTAGTTATCCTCCGTATGACAGGTCTAGTTACCCCTGGGGGTATTAGTTATCCTCCGTATGACAGTTCTAGTTACCCCTGAGGCTATCTATTCTGGGAGGTGGTAAACTTTACTACAGTGTAGAGTCTATATAGGGAAGTAACACTTTTGACTTTATTTTGTTCATTTTCAGCAACAAATAATTCAAACTTGGTTGGAATAATTCAGATGAAATTGAAATTAAATAGTATCAGAAAGTTAGATCCTGACCTACCCAAAGGGTTAGCTGAGGAGCTCGACTTTCTACTAAATTTCTCATTCAGTAGCATCATCAGTTATTTGAAGAGTTTTTCACATTTTCCCCCCTAGGTTATTTGAAGAGCTTTTCACATTTTTTGGTTGATAAGTAATTTAATGCTGATTCCCACTTCACATTTAAGCAGTGACGACTACTTTTAGTTAAGCCAGGTGACTGTTACGGCCTTAGGCCTCAGGCCTCTTGTATTACTCTGGAATTATTTCTTATACAAGTTGTAATGGGAAACAAGTATAAGTTTGTAATTGGGATTACTGCCTTTGTCCATCTTTTTCTTCAAATTGTGTTCCGAGGTTAAAATGTGTCGGGGGGGGGGGGAATATGAAAGGGCCATACATGTCGTTTGGTATAAACCATAAGCAGGTCAGAGAGAAATGTCTATGTTTGGTTATCTTTATCTGTTGTATTTTCACAGAACATCGGACAGCCATCCCAGGCTCAGCAGATGATGTCTCAACCAAGCACTGTTTCTGCTGTCCCCTCTCCTATACAGCAGTCTGGGTCAGTTACGTCCTCATCATCATCAAATGTTTGTTGTCTTTTATCTGGTTCTGTCTAAGTGGAAGTTTTCATGTTCGACTCTAAAAACTATTCATAGCATGTGAGTTTCAGAGATTCATTTGAGAATTAAAATCAGCAAAAAATATCCAGCATATAATAAGCACAATTTTTATTAGCCCCCACCGGTTCCCAGCACTCCATCTGTCCATCCAAAAAGTTTGTCCAGGACATATCTTTTATGCTATTTCACCTGGAGTAACCAGATTTGGTATGCTAATACATCTTGGAATGGCGAAGTGTCATGTACAAAAAGTATACGTAGGTCACCAGTTTTTCCGGGGCACATCTTCTATACAATTACACCTGCAGTAACATGGTTCAGTGTGCAAGTACATCCTGGGATGGAGGAGTCTCAAGTACAAAAAGTTGACCTTTGACCTTATCCTTTTAAAAGTTGTCAAGAGCATATCTTATACTGTTTCACCTGGAATAACAAGATGTGATGTGCAAATATATGTCTTGGCTGGCGTAGTACAAGAAGTATGTCACTGTGACCTATATATAGCCTGAGATAGGTTTTTACCACTGCGGGAATTATGATAGCCTTCTAATACCCTGCCTTGTTTTGTACTTACAGTTGTCAAACTACCTGATCTGATTAAGTTATAAAAGTCTTGTACAGGATTTGCTATTGACCATCATGGATTAAGGATTAGGTCGTCCGAGGTCAAGGTCATCAATTCCAAAAATTAGAACTTTGCTTCTCGGAATAATAATTTGAAAACCAATTGTCAAGAAAAGTTCAAACTTGGTGTATGGGAAGCCCTAGCAGATATACTGCAGATGTCTTAAGTGCAACTTGTAATTTCAGTTACTATTGCACACTCTATTAAAAGTCAATGTGAGATGATAAATGTTCCCTTGTTATTATACTATATGTCAAAACTTATTTAACATTGTTGCACACTCTTTTGAAATTCATGCGAGAAAGTAAATGCTCCATTGTTGTTATACTGTATGAGATAACAAATGCTCCCTTGTTTTGCAGGTTCCAGATGACACACTCTCCCATCTCTATGATGCCCTCCCCTTCCCCCCAGGGCTATGTCGTCCCGTCCCCTGCCTCCCGGAACTTCAGTGCCCTGTCGCTCCCTTGTTATTATACTGTATGAGATAATAAATGTTCCCTTGTTGTTATACTGTATGAGACAACAAATGCTCCCTTGTTTTGCAGGTCCCAGATGACACACTCTCCCATCTCTATGATGACCTCCCCTGCCCCCCAGGGCTATGTCGTCCCGTCCCCTGCCTCCCGGAACTTCAGTGCCCTGTCGCTCCCTTGTTATTATACTGTATGAGATAACAAATGCTCCCTTGTTGTTCTACTGTATGAGACAACAAATGCTCCCTTGTTTTGCAGGTCCCAGATGACACACTCTCCCATCTCTATGATGACCTCCCCTGCCCCCCAGGGCTATGTCGTCCCGTCCCCTGCCTCCCGGAACTTCAGTGCCCTGTCGCTCCCTTGTTATTATACTGTATGAGATAATAAATGTTCCCTTGTTGTTATACTGTATGAGACAACAAATGCTCCCTTGTTTTGCAGGTCCCAGCTGACACACTCTCCCATCTCTATGATGACCTCCCCTCCCCCCCAGGGCTATGTCGTCCCGTCCCCTGCCTCCCGGAACTTCAGTGCCCTGTCGCTCCCTTGTTATTATACTGTATGAGATAACAAATGTTCCCTTGTTGTTATACTGTATGAGACAACAAATGCTCCCTTGTTTTGCAGGTCCCAGCTGACACACTCTCCCATCTCTATGATGACCTCCCCTTGCCCCCAGGGCTATGTCGTCCCGTCCCCTGCCTCCCGGAACTTCAGTGCCCTGTCGCTCCCTTGTTATTATACTGTATGAGATAATAAATGTTCCCTTGTTGTTATACTGTATGAGATAATAAATGCTCCCTTGTTGTTATACTGTATGAGATAACAAATGGTCGCTTGTTGTTATACTGTCAGAGATAACAAATGCTCCCTTGTTATACTATATGCGATAACAAATGCTCCTTTGTTATTATACTGTATGAGATAACAAATGCTTCCTTGTTGTTATACTGTGCGAGATAACAAATGCTTCTTTGATGATTATACTGTACGAGATAACAAATGTTACCTTGTTGTTATACTGTACGAGATAACAAATGTTCCCTTGTTGTTATACTGTACGAGATAACAAATGTTACCTTGTTGTTATACTGTACGAGATAACAAATGCTTCCTTGTTGTTTTACTGTATGAGATAACAAATGCTCCCTTGTTGTCATACTGTCAGAGATAACAAATGCTCCCTTGTTATACTATATGCGATAACAAATGCTCCTTTGTTATTATACTGTATGAGATAACAAATGCTTCCTTGTTGTTATAATGTACGAGATAACAAATGCTCCCTTGTTATTATACTGGGCGAGATAACAAATCCTCCCTTGTTGTTGATTATACTGTACGAGATAACAAATGCTCCCATGTTGTTATACTGTACGAGATAACAAATGTTACCTTGTTGTTATACTGTACGAGATAACAAATGTTACCTTGTTGTTATACTGTACGAGATAACAAATGTTCCCTTGTTGTTATACTGTATGAGACAACAAATGCTCCCTTGTTTTGCAGGTCCCAGATGACACACTCTCCCATCTCTATGATGCCCTCCCCTTCCCCCCAGGGCTATGTCGTCCCGTCCCCTGCCTCCCGGAACTTCAGTGCCCTGTCGCTCCCTTGTTATTATACTGTATGAGATAATAAATGTTCCCTTGTTGTTATACTGTATGAGATAACAAGTGCCCCCTTGTTGTTATACTGTCAGAGATAACAAATGCTCCCTTGTTATACTATATGCGATAACAAATGCTCCTTTGTTATTATACTGTATGAGATAACAAATGCTTCCTTGTTGTTATACTGTATGAGATAACAAATTCGCCCTTGTTGTTATACTGTCAGAGATAACAAATGCTCCCTTGTTATACTATATGCGATAACAAATGCTCCTTTGTTATTATACTGTATGAGATAACAAATGCTCGCTTGTTGTTATACTGTACGAGATAACAAATGTTACCTTGTTGTTATACTGTACGAGATAACAAATGTTACCTTGTTGTTATACTGTACGAGATAACAAATGTTCCCTTGTTGTTATACTGTATGAGACAACAAATGCTCCCTTGTTTTGCAGGTCCCAGATGGCACACTCTCCCATCTCTATGATGACCTCCCCTCCCCCCCAGGGCTATGTCGTCCCGTCCCCTGCCTCCCGGAACTTCAGTGCCCTGTCGCTCCCTTGTTATTATACTGTATGAGATAATAAATGTTCCCTTGTTGTTATACTGTATGAGACAACAAATGCTCCCTTGTTTTGCAGGTCCCAGATGGCACACTCTCCCATCTCTATGATGACCTCCCCTGCCCCCCAGGGCTATGTCGTCCCGTCCCCTGCCTCCCGGAACTTCAGTGCCCTGTCGCTCCCTTGTTATTATACTGTATGAGATAACAAATGTTCCCTTGTTGTTATACTGTATGAGATAACAAATTCTCCCTTGTTGTTATACTGTATGAGATAACAAATGCTCCCTTGTTTTGCAGGTCCCAGATGACACACTCTCCCATCTCTATGATGACCTCCCCTTCCCCCCAGGGCTATGTCGTCCCGTCCCCTGCCTCCCGGAACTTCAGTGCCCTGTCCCCCAGTAACACAAACCTCAACACTCCAGGTATGGTATATACTGCTGACACTTGTAAAGGATTTCTGACACATTTAAACATTATATCTGTTCTTTGTGTTAGCAAGACCAAATTATCTTAGATCAAGGCAGTTTACAGGTGTAATGTTAAGATCCTCTATAGAAAGAAAAATTATACAGGAACTGATGGAGATTACACATACAGAATTCTTCCATTAAAGAACACTAGTCTTTCACAAGATTACTTACCATTTTACTGAAAACAATTTGTGCAGCTAGGTAAACTTGAGCAGTTGGAATAGTGTCCAGTATAACCAGATTTATTGTACCTATACCTATAGTAGGAGTTGTAAGCAGTATATTTTATCATAGAAACGTGCTCTCCTATGTAATGACATAGGAAAGTAAAATGTAACAATTATTTATTTGATCAGACTAAGAACCAAATTATTTAAAATGTTGATTAAAAAACTTTCAAAAGTCTGTAATAAAAGCTTTGTTTACTGGTATTTGTGATGAGGGTTTTTGTGCCATTATAATGACATTATGATGCAAGTCATGCCCCTCTGTGACAGGAGTTATACCCCTTTGACTGGAGTTATTCCCCTTTGACTTGAGTTGGGCCCCTTTGACTGGAGTTGTTCCCCTTTGACTGGAGTTATTCCCCTTTGACTGGAGTTGTTCCCCTTGTGCTGGAGTTATTCCCCTTTGACTGGAGTTTTTACCCTTTGACTGAAGTTATACCCCTTTGCTGTTACAGCTGGGACTGGCCAGGCTCCAATATCACAGGAGGACCAGGCATACCTAGACAAGTTAAACCAGCTGTCCAAGTATATAGAGCCATTGAGGAGAATTAACCGGCGAATGATGAACCGACAGTCTGCTGATAAGGATGAAGGTAAGGGACAGTCAATGACAGTCAGAGGTATACTGTGAGGAATGATACCTAAGGGCTCAAGATTTAATGTCAGATAAGAGTCAGAGGGTTGTATCCCACAGTAATAATATTGGTATGTAATGGAAGATATTTCATTGATGTTTCTCCTGTGTTTTAAGTCAATATATTAGTGTCTTTGAGCTTGTGTGATGGTCAACTTCTTCTACAGATTCCTAAGGTCTGATCCTGTAGCTTACTAGGGTAGAGGGCTCTCAGATTGTTGAATTGTCATTGCCCTGTACATTGGTGTTGTGGGGGCTCTAGGAAGTATTTTTCAAGCCAATAACCTAGGCCCTCATTCTAGGTAACACTTCTGATATGTTCCATACTTCAAATAATTTCTTTTTAATATACATAGACCTAGTTGAGTGATATTTTATCATGTAGATGGCTGGTTATGAAGGGCAATCAAATAATTAGAATTAAATAGCCTCACTCATTTTTTTTTTTACATTTCCGGATATCTGCAGTATGTTTAACACACATTTAATACTTTTTTGTAGTAAACTGAATCAATGTTCACTCCTCTTAATTTTTGTAAATGACAGATACAAGTGCCATTGGCATTTTTTTGGGATATTTCTGGTAAATTTCTCTTTTTCCTGTATTTCCAGACAGAGTAAGAGAAATCCACAAGATGAAGAACCTACTAGAAATTTTGACAGATCCATCAAAAAGGTGATTTGTTCAAGTAAACTTGAATCCAGTAATTCTCTGATTTGTCCCTGGGGTTATTTCTCCTGGTGTGGCTTTATTAAGCAATAAGTTTGTCTATCAATCTTGGAGAGCAAGTGTAGTTTTAGTGCATTGGGAAAAATTGTCCTTAAAACCATGACAGCCTGCACTTATTCATCAAAATCTGTGAGGTCCAGAGTGTTTGACAGGTTTTACACTTTGATGTCCTGCTAGGTTTGGGTTTGACTTCCGGATCCAAGTTGTGTTACATAAGACCTTAAATTGTGTACATGTGTTATTTCGGGAGAGCCCAATGTGAAAGTATTGATTTTCCTTCTTGAAGTCAGTGTTACATATTTGTATTTGAAATAAAAACTATTGAACAGTTTGGAGTGAAACCTTCAACATGTCAACATTGTTATTTAAAAAAAAGTTGAAGATGAAATAAATTTTCACTCATAAATGTGAAGTTTGTTTTTGAACACAAACAGGAATTGAGAACTTGTTTTGCGACTTTTCAAAAACATAATTCTTTTGTCAAGCAAAAAACATAAATGATAAGTGTCGACTAAACTGCTGAAAACAACTCACTATGCCACAATGTGCCGAGTCAGCTGTCAAAAATCTGATCAAAAAGCACTCTGATACAACATGCAGTTGGGGGAATGGGTAACGTGTTTACCCATTGGGGACTTATTACCAAGAACAAAACAATCATATAACACTTGTTGAGTGTAAAGAGATAAATATATGCTACCAGGATGTGTTCCAGTGTCCAGTCTCACCCTGGGTTATTGCTTTGAAATAGTTGAGATCCCCATCCCATATCTATCACTTGGCATGAAGAGATCAACAAAATCATGCTATCATAACTGCCCTGATGTCTGGCCTCATTACTGGAGACTGGGTCCCTGTGTCTCTGGCCTCATTACTGGAGACTGGGTCCCTGTGTCTCTGGCTTCACTACTGGAGACTGGGTTCCTGTGTCTCTGGCCTCATTACTGGAGAATGGGTCTCTGTGTCTCTGGCCTAACTACTGGAGACTGGGTCCCTGTGTCTCTGGCCTCATTACTGGAGACTGGGTCCCTGTGTCTCTGGCTTCACTACTGGAGACTGGGTTCCTGTGTCTCTGGCCTCATTACTGGAGACTGGGTCCCTGTGTCTCTGGCCTCATTACTGGAGACTGGGTCCCTGTGTCTCTGGCCTCATTACTGGAGACTGGGTCCCTGTGTCTCTGGCCTCATTACTGGAGACTGGGTCCCTGTGTCTCTGGCCTCATTACTGGAGACTGGGTCCCTGTGTCTCTGGCCTCATTACTGGAGACTGGGTCCCTGTGTCTCTGGCCTCATTACTGGAGACTGGGTCCCTGTGTCTCTGGACTCATTACTGGAGACTGGGTCCCTGTGTCTCTGGCCTCATTACTGGAGACTGGGTCCCTGTGTCTCTGGCCTCATTACTGGAGACTGGGTCCCTGTGTCTCTGGCCTCATTACTGGAGACTGGGTCCCTGTGTCTCTGGCCTCATTACTGGAGACTGGGTCCCTGTGTCTCTGGCCTCATTACTGGAGACTGGGTCCCTGTGTCTCTGGCCTCATTACTGGAGACTGGGTCCCTGTGTCTCTGGCCTCATTACTGGAGACTGGGTCCCTGTGTCTCTGGCCTCATTACTGGAGACTGGGTCCCTGTGTCTCTGGCCTCATTACTGGAGACTGGGTCCCTGTGTCTCTGGCCTCATTACTGGAGACTGGGTCCCTGTGTCTCTGGCCTCATTACTGGAGACTGGGTCCCTGTGTCTCTGGCCTCATTACTGGAGACTGGGTCCCTGTGTCTCTGGCCTCATTACTGGAGACTGGGTCCCTGTGTCTCTGGCCTCATTACTGGAGACTGGGTCCCTGTGTCTCTGGCCTCATTACTGGAGACTGGGTCCCTGTGTCTCTGGCCTCATTACTGGAGACTGGGTCCCTGTGTCTCTGGCCTCATTACTGGAGACTGGGTCCCTGTGTCTCTGGCCTCATTACTGGAGACTGGGTCCCTGTGTCTCTGGCCTCATTACTGGAGACTGGGTCCCTGTGTCTCTGGCCTCATTACTGGAGACTGGGTCCCTGTGTCTCTGGCCTCATTACTGGAGACTGGGTCCCTGTGTCTCTGGCCTCATTACTGGAGACTGGGTCCCTGTGTCTCTGGCCTCATTACTGGAGACTGGGTCCCTGTGTCTCTGGCCTCATTACTGGAGACTGGGTCCCTGTGTCTCTGGCCTCATTACTGGAGACTGGGTCCCTGTGTCTCTGAAATCATTACTGGAGACTGGGTCCCTGTGTCTCTGGCCTCATTACTGGAGACTGGGTCCCTGTGTCTCTGGCCTCATTACTGGAGACTGGGTCCCTGTGTCTCTGGCCTCATTACTGGAGACTGGGTCCCTGTGTCTCTGGCCTCATTACTGGAGACTGGGTCCCTGTGTCTCTGGCCTCATTACTGGAGACTGGGTCCCTGTGTCTCTGGCCTCATTACTGGAGACTGGGTCCCTGTGTCTCTGGCCTCATTACTGGAGACTGGGTCCCTGTGTCTCTGGCCTCATTACTGGAGACTGGGTCCCTGTGTCTCTGGCCTCATTACTGGAGACTGGGTCCCTGTGTCTCTGGCCTCATTACTGGAGACTGGGTCCCTGTGTCTCTGGCCTCATTACTGGAGACTGGGTCCCTGTGTCTCTGGCCTCATTACTGGAGACTGGGTCCCTGTGTCTCTGGCCTCATTACTGGAGACTGGGTCCCTGTGTCTCTGGCCTCATTACTGGAGACTGGGTCCCTGTGTCTCTGGCCTCATTACTGGAGACTGGGTCCCTGTGTCTCTGGCCTCATTACTGGAGACTGGGTCCCTGTGTCTCTGGCCTCATTACTGGAGACTGGGTCCCTGTGTCTCTGGCCTCATTACTGGAGACTGGGTCCCTGTGTCTCTGGCCTCATTACTGGAGACTGGGTCCCTGTGTCTCTGGCCTCATTACTGGAGACTGGGTCCCTGTGTCTCTGGCCTCATTACTGGAGACTGGGTCCCTGTGTCTCTGGCCTCATTACTGGAGACTGGGTCCCTGTGTCTCTGGCCTCATTACTGGAGACTGGGTCCCTGTGTCTCTGGCCTCATTACTGGAGACTGGGTCCCTGTGTCTCTGGCCTCATTACTGGAGACTGGGTCCCTGTGTCTCTGAAATCATTACTGGAGACTGGGTCCCTGTGTCTCTGAAATCATTACTGGAGACTGGGTCCCTGTGCCTCTGGCCTCATTACTGGAGACTGGGTCCCTGTGTATCTGGGCTCATTACTGGAGACTGGGTCCCTGTGTCTCTGGCCTCATTACTGGTGACTGGGTCCCTGTGTCTCTGGCTTCACTACTGGAGACTGGGTTCCTGTGTCTCTGGCCTCCCTACTGGAGACTGGGTCCCTGTGTCTCTGGCCTCACTACTGGAGACTGGGTCCCTGTGTCTCTGGCCTCACTACTGGAGACTGGGTCCCTGTGTCTCTGGCCTCACTACTGGAGACTGGGTCCCTGTGTCTCTGGCCTCACTACTGGAGACTGGGTCCCTGTGTCTCTGGCCTCACTACTGGAGACTGGGTCCCTGTGTCTCTGGCCTCACTACTGGAGACTGGGTCCCTGTGTCTCTGGCCTCACTACTGGAGACTGGGTCCCTGTGTCTCTGGCCTCACTACTGGAGACTGGGTCCCTGTGTCTCTGGCCTCAGTACTGGAGACTGGGTCCCTGTGTCTCTGGCCTCACTTCTGGAGACTGGGTTCTGTGTCTCTGGCCTCATTACTAGAGACTGGGTCCCTGTGTCTCTGGCCTCATTAGTGGAGACTGGGTCCCTGTGTCTCTGACCTCACTACTGGAGACTGGGTCCCTGTGTCTCTTGCCTTATTTCTGGAGACTGGGTCCCTGTGTCTCTGAAATCATAAGTGGAGACTGGGTCCCTGTGTTTCTGGCCTCACTACTGGAGACTAGGTTCCTGTGTCTCTGAAATCATTAGTGGAGACTGGGTCCCTGTGACTCTGGCCTCATTACTGGTATCTGGGTTCCTGTGTCTCTGGCCTCACTCCTGGAGATTGGGTCCCTCTGTCACAACACTGAAAAAGTTAAGATCTTCTCCCTTTAAACATATATATTCAATCATCATTACTGGAGACTGGGGCCCTGTGTCTCTGGCCTCATTACTGGAAACTGGGTCCCTGTGTTTCTGGCCTCACTACTGGAGCCTAGGTTCCTGTGTCTCTCCCTACTGGAGACTGGGTCCCTGGGCCTCTGGCCTCATTACTGGAGACTGGGTCCCTGTGTCTCTGGCCTCACTCCTGGAGATTGGGTCCCTCTGTCACAACACAGAAAAAGTTAAGATCTTCTCCCTTTAAACATATATATTCAATCGCTTTGCATGAAAGAACACACTGACCTTTGGGGCTCGGTCTCTGCCCTGAAGGACTTGATCCCTGTGTTGTAACAGGAAAACGACCCAGGTCCTCACCTTATCACTATATATAAAATTGCTAAGCATGACGATTTTGGTACACTAATGCAACCAAGATTAACACCAGGGTCCAGCCTTAACATTTGGTCATAACATGGAAACAGTTCATTACTCCAGGGGACTCAGGACTTAGTTATAACATGGACAAAGTTCATGATTTACTCCAGGGGACTCAGGACTTAGTCATAACATGGAAACAGTTCATGATTTACTACAGGGGACTCGGGACTTAGTTATAACATGGAAACAGTTCATGATTTACTCCAGGGGACTCAGGACTTAGTTATAACATGGAAACAGTTCATGATTTACTCCAGGAGACTCAGGACTTAGTTATAACTAATGAACAGTTCAGATCTTATCACCATATAGTTACGGCCCTCTATGATATGTGGGAAAGAAGCGACCTGCGTCCGGGTCGCACTTCAAACTGATATTTTAGAAACAAATCGTCAATTTCACACACATGTCGCACATGGATTAACCCTAACCCTAACCCTATTCTTTATGCACTAGGTAGTATCAATAATATGTTTCAAAGATCATTACGAACAGTATTTTCCAACGTTTTCTATACCAACCCATGTTTTTAATGGAAATTAGGGCATGAGCAATGTCACATGACTTGATGAGATCTCACGTTACTGAAGTTATTTCCCAACGTTATGACGTAGGTCGGCGAGATTTTAGTCACGTGGCATTAGAAGGCGGGGCTTTCAAAAAACTAGAGTAAAACAGAGTAAGTTTGAAAAAATATGTTTTTAGTGATTGTATTGGTTGTTTGAGGCATGTTATTTATGTTCATCTTGTGCATAAAGAATAAATCTTTCGATCCATGTGCGACATGTGTGTGAAAGTGACAACTTGTTTCTAAAATATCAGTTTGAAGTGCGACCCAGGCGCGGGTCGCTTATTTCCCGCATAATATAGAGGGCCGGAGTTCTGACGTTAATCGACGACAGACCGATATAAAAAAGTCTATAAAACGCCAGAATAATTCGGACTAGCTGGGCTTTTGAGGCTTGAAGCCACAAACATCCTCATGTGTCCAGGATTAGCTTTGAGTTTTAGTCCCTCCATGCAGACATATTTGCAGCATAACTTTTAAATGAAAAGATTTTGTCTCATGATTCCTTTAATATCAAGAATGGAAAAACAGGCCCTCTGGGCAACTTAATGAGCTCCTGTGATGATTCCAAGAAACGACCAATGTTTTTTCTTCACACATGAGATATAATTATTTGCTTTGTAGTGAGTTTGAGGTACTTGTAGCTTATATAATTAACCCTGCACCACATTTCCTATAAACATAATTTTTGGACAGGTTGCCATGGAAAACACTTCTCAAATGTGAACAGGTGCTGCTGAAACTGGAGCTTGAATGGGTAAGTGAAGGTCCTTTCAAGGTCAACTTTTGTAGGTCCTCTCTTAAACGGATGAGTTTGATGTCCACCACTAACTCACACCTGGAAGTCCTGCATTGTAAATTTGAGAAATATATAAATTTCTAAATTGATTATAAATTCCAAAATGATGTACAAAGACTTAGTGAAGCACACTTGATTTAGACTTTTGGTTGTAAATGGGGGGTAAGGGGCTTCAGTCAGGTTTAAATTCAACAGGATTTTATTCATTAAAAATAATTTTTGAATTCATGAAAACGTTGTGTTTATAGTTCTCATTAAAGTATTTATTTTGTGAAAATGGACCATCTAGTTCAATACTCCGAAGTAAACATCTTGTCTGAGATATGTAAATTATCAATGTTTTTCTGTCTATTTCAGGACAAAACTGGGGAATTGGTAAGAAACATTTAGTCTTAACTTAAACAATCAAATGAGCAACTTTCAAAATTCGAGTTTACTGATTTCAGTTTTCCAAGTCTGTGCTTTTAAATGGTGATTCATTTTGTCTAAAATTGCAGTTATTACAACTTTTCCATTTTTTCGCTATTGTCATAGAACCTTCTTATAGTGATTTTATATAACACAAATATATGTTCCAGGCTCCATCTAATGCAGATGTTACTGTCACCAAGGTAACCACGACAACCACTCACATGTGTCAGCCATTACTGGACGCCGTGGCTGCACACATGACGTCACCGATGTTGAACCACTCTTTACAGCGGACATTTGGTCCGGCTGTTTCAGCATTACATGGCAGTCCAATCAGGTAGTAATGATGTGTGACTGCTTTTGGTCGCTTTTTAGGTCACTTGAGCAAAGCTCAGGTGACCTATTCTAATCGCTTTCCGTCCGTTGACATCCGTCGTGCGTCGTGTGACGTGCGTAAACTTTTTACATTTTCAACTTATTCTCAAGAACCAGTGGATGGAATTTTTTCAAACTTGGTCAGAATCCTCCTGGGTAGATGAGGGAAAATTAACCAATATTTCAAAAACCTTCTTTTCCAGACTCAGAGGTACTACAGTCTATTTCAGTGCATGGATAGAAAGATCATCAGGAGTTTTATTTAAATTGTCAATTTCAGGACCCCAAGCCATCCGTTCCCCCTTAGGGTGGGGGTAAAGTTTACTATAGTTTATATAGGGAAATAACACTTTTGGGTATATTTTATCCATTTTCAGCAGAAAATTACTCAAACTTAGTCAGAATCATCTTTGGTGAATGAGGGTATTACATTGCAAAATTGGAATTCCTGCCCCATCCCCAGGGGCTAGAGCCCCGAAGGGAAAATTTACCAATATTTTCAAATTCTTACCCTTTGATGACATGACAAGTATTGTATTTCACTTAGTTTACATGCTGATTTCCACATCACATCGAAACAATAAAATAAAGCTACCAGTACCTATGATATAACTCAGGTGACCGCTAAGGCCCAAATGGGCCTCTTGTTAAAATAATAAACTAAAACTCATTTCAGTTCTACAGCCACATTGGCCTTATGCTTTAAGTTGTCGTGGTACTGTTAATTGTTGTTATCATTTATGAACTGTTTATTGTCACATTGAATTTAAGTCTTGTAAAAAATTTTCTTTTCATGAAGCAAAAAAATGAAAACAAAAAGCATAAAGTCCCGTCAGTATGAAGTGCCTAAAGTAAACAGTTCGCTTGATTTATTCCCTTTATTTGTTGCCAGGGCGCCAAGTCCACCGCCAAAACGTCGCCGTGTCGAGGAATGGGACCAGGATGAAATTCCTCACATTCTACAAGGAGAGATTGCACGCCTAGGAGGGCGCTTCAAAGTCAACTTTGACCCCACACAACATGGGGGGTCAAAGGATATCCACCTCCTTTGTCGCCTAGGTAACCATTAAGACATATT